GCATCTGAAGGCTGTGAGGGCGGATTTTTGATAGTTAAAAAGCAGGAGGATTATTGTGATTGTATGTCACTTTTTGGTCAACGGGACGCGCAATTGTACAAAACGGTACTGATCAGCCGTGACCATGAAGCTACATTTTCAAAAGAATTGATGGTGGCAGGGCTTGGGTCAAATACATACGCTGGATTGAATGACAGAAGCTTTATCAGCTGAAGAACACCAGCCAGCAGATCACTTGATAAAAACGCCCAAAAGTCAGGGCGGCGATATAGGTATTCGTTTTGTTCATTGAAACGAGACTGGTGCGATATTTTGCACCCTTTCATAATCCACTGGACTACGCCGAGTGACATCATTTAATTGAATTCAAAGCCGCTAATTTCTCTCAGTTTTGCCAAAACTCATCTGAAGTAGACGGTCGAAAAGTACCGCCAGTTGTTCCCTTTATTGAGACTGCGTCATCAGTTTCGAGTGGATTTCGATGATGTGTCGCGATAATCCCTGCGAGTCGAACCTACTTCTCACTACCTTATGATCCGCCACACCGTTCACATTGTTAAATCCAGAACTGCATGTGTGTGGCGGACTGCACTTGTTTATAATTCTACCAGCCCATGCGTGGTATACTAAAGAAAGTCCGTTTTACGCATAACACTCTGTGCTTCCACTCGGATCACAGCGCCACCCTTCAACTTATCTATGGAAGTGAGCGAGTATATCTCGTCTAATTATTTCGGTGCGTTTTGTTTGGTTGCCTGAATACCTCAGGTCGGACCTAATTTCCATGCAGATGCTGTAGGATTAGTCAGTATGGTACCGTTCGCTTCGGTAGGGGTTCCGCAAATTCAAAGCGCAAAGTACTACTGTAGGGTCAGGCTGATTCGACACTATTTCGATGACCAACAATCCACACATAGTGACTGATTCGTAAATAGATTTAGGTGTATGTAACATCTCTAATGATCGCTGTCGAGATAACCCTCCAAAAATAACAAAGAGGACTAGGCAGTGATCCGAAAATCCGTTACTAAGGAATAACGGGTCATTTTTTACTGTACACAAATTTGAATCACTATTTTATTGTAGTGCACTTTCACTGGTTAACTATTCCTTGTCCTCTTCGTGATTTCACTGGCTCGCGCTCGCTCGCTGACTTTTGGGCCGCTCCTATATTGGCTGGAACTAGGTTGCGCTTTGCTCACAATTTTCCAAACCAATTATAGACTGCTCAGCCGGCAAGTGTAGTCAGCTTGCACTGATTGTATGTACACCGGCTGGCCCCGTCTGTTTCGCTCGCTCAGTCAATTAGTCATCATCGCACTGTGCGCCGTCTGGTCACAGTCAGAGTCGCGCACGAGCAGCTAGCTTGCCTTTGTCCGGGATCGAAGCTGTGCTAAACTCACAACACTGCGAACCAATTTCTTACTGTTCAACCGGCCCGTGGCGTAGTCGTAATCAACTTGCACTGACAGCGCTGAATGGCTTTCATGCCCACCGACCGTGCGTCGGTTTCGCTCGCGTAACCTATCAGCTACCATCACAATCGCCTCATCGAGGAGGCTGCTGGGTGTACAAAATAGGTCCGTCTGACTCGTAAGAGCCTTAATCAACTATGAAAATGATTCGAAATCAATTGATCTATCAAGACGGATCACATGATACCGCTTGGTGATCAGTGCTATCGTATGAACGAAGTGCGATTGCAGCCTCCAATCGTTTTTGTGCTGCTAACTTGGATTTGTGGTGAGATCCTCTGCAAAATATTGACCCGCTGGTTCGAGCAGATATGGAGGGAAGGGAACATTTCAACCAACTGGAGGGAATCGACCGCAGTGGCAATATCCAAAGACAGTCGCAATATATGCGCTGACTTCAGTGGTATCGACTTGGTGACTATAACGATGAAGTTTCTAGCGATCTTCCGAATAGGAAGCTGCTATAACGGAAAATGCGATTTCCCCATACAAACGGGTCCGCATAGATCACATTTCAACAACTGATGGAGCAACGTCACACATACCATAGGCCAGGTGTATTTGTGTAAGTGTGTGTGTATAAGATCGCGCTCCATGCACTCGCTCGGAATGGTGTCCCAATGAAATGTGAAATGAATGCATTACATCTAGACTCACTCAGACAGATATCGCACGCCCGGAAAAGCATTGTACGCGCGTTTCATCCTTTCGGGTAAGTTCGTCGCTTGATGAGGGGGCTACCCTGTCCTCTGCACGGCAGTAACGTGCAAATCAGTGGGTATTGAGCGGCGCTATATCACATCTAGTAACTTATTTACGATGGTCGTTGCCGTCCCGCGTAGCTCAGTGGTCTCAACCACGGACTGGCAACAGTCGAGTTGCGGGTTCGGACCCTATCATGGTCCGATGGAATGCGCACTGCTAACAATTCTCGAAAGGATGAAACGCGCGCACAGTGCTTTTTCGGACGTAAAGTGGCTGTCTGAGTCTAGATGTGACGAATTTCTACCTATGCCATTCAACTCCCCCTAATACTCCTCTGAAATGCGAATTGTCGGATGTCTCAGACAACAAGTGGCGTTCGACGGCGCTGTCGCATCCTTATTAACCCCTATCGTGAGCGGATTATCTGGTTGTATTGGGAGCTGCATCACCAGCGACAGGTATGTGACTACAGTAGTAATTTCGTGCATTGCAAGAGCCTGAGCTACCTTTATAAATCTCCGCAATGCAGATTTCGTAACGCCCACTATTCCCGCTCGGTGAGGTGCTCAGCTTCGAAGGTGCTTACTAGTTGGCTGTATTGGAAAACCGCAAATTATAACGTCTGTTGTCAATGATGAATGAGGTTGACGTACAGAATGCGCTATGGGAAAGGAACTTTGGGCCGCTTATTCACTATATTTAAAGTAACTGAATCGTGGATGGATTTTACGGACTTAAATGTGCCTGATTCAAGAAAGAAAATGATTCTGTGGGAATTAGTTTCAAAAGATCTGTGTCGTTGAAAAAGCATCTGGTTAGGAATATCGGAGTTGGCCAGGAGCATTCGCGAGATCTCATGAGGTGTAGCAAGCTGGTGCTATTGAAATCACATGGGCTCCGACAATGAAGGATGACAACTGATACCCAGTCACGTTGACTAGAGAGCTGGATCTCAATCCTATGAGGGTGGCGTGTCATAATTTTTGGCTGATTCAAATGAACCCATCTGGGACGTTGACGTAACAAGTCCCACCATCGACTCACTAGTGTTTGCCTTGACTGTTCCGCTCGACACTGTTCGGGATAGACAGGAAGTCCCCTTTGAGATGCGACAGTCAATAGCTGTTCCCATCCTTAAGAGGTTAGAGCGTGTTCTGTGAAACTCATCGTGGCATCAGTCTATTTCCACTAAACCACACATCTGAGGGCATTTTGCTAAGTCTCAAGGGAATGGAAACCGCGAGATTCAGATTAGCACTTGGCCTAGGTATAAGGTTTATTGGTCGCATGTAGCTAGATCACCATTTTCGGTACACTATTCGTGTTTGATCGTTGAAATGAATTAAAGAACGTTCACTGTGATCTTACTGCGTACAAGGATCAGAATAAAGTGCCAAGAAGGCATCAAAAGTACACCGGCATATTGTATCGAAGCTTCCATCCCACGCGACCACCACCCGCAGCGCGGGGTCACCCGCGCCTAGGCGGATTCGAATGTGCGACCTCATGACAACAACGCAAACGCGCAATCCTTTCGGACACCGGCAAACTAATGTATTGGTGTATTGCTGTCGACGCCAACGTCTCATACGAAATTGTTGATGGGACAGCAGGATATCCAAATGTTGGTGACTGAAACTTCGGTTTTCTATGTGATTTCGTCCCCACTTGGATTCTCCAGGTGGAAGATAGCCCGAGCTGGGAGTGCAATCTGTCAATTAGTGGTTTATGGCACCGGAAGAGCGCCTGAAGAGTTCAGACGGAAATGGAACTAGTCGTAACGTACAGTTTTGGGAGCCAGAAGAACCGAAAAATCCCCGGTCCAAGTGCACCTCAAGGTAGACTCGTACCTTGAATCGCTCAAAAATGAAAGCGAACCGAAACATGATACTACTGGAGGAATTAGGTGAGCCAGTGCAATGAGCATGCGATTTCACGGATTCGTGCACATTACAGAGAAACAAGGCGACCACACACAAAGTAACCAGGGACATCCACGTGTGCGGAAACAATTCGTGCGTGCATGTATGCTTACCGCAGTGACGGTGCCACCAGCTATCGACTCTCCGCCGACGCGAAGCATGAATCTTCCAAGCGGCTTACATTTTTCGTAAATCTCCACACAGATCTGGCGATCCATGATGATTTCCACATCGGCTGTGCAGTTGCCCAGTAAACACCTGAAGAAAGTTGGAAGGAAAGACAAAAATACTCGTGTATGTGAAAGTCGATTCACACATTCGCCGGAGCAAATAACCAAAGGATAAACGATGAACACTTTAATATTCTTTTTGATTCACGTTTCTGGGCACAGCAATTGTGGCCGATTTCGTTCGGGTTCTTTGGCTGAAAACTATGAAACGAATTCAGATGAGGAGCAAAGTGCACACTGAGCGCAGCTAAAGTGCCATCGGATTTCGGCAACTGAGACCAAAGCGGTAAACATATTCGAATAACAATTGTCTGTAGAAGAACATCATTCGTCTAGGTGTAGACGTCGAAATACATGCGTCAAGAAACCAAAGTGCAAGACGTCTGCAGTCGCAAATTAAATAAATTTTTCAGGGATTAAAGCCTAGAGACAGTGAACACACCATTCCAAGTAGGGAGGCAACGAAACCCTGGTGCAAGATACAGCTCAAATGAAATGCTAGTGGTTTTTCTCACTGAGAACAAAAAAAAACAAACAATCGTAATCCTTGATGAGAAGACATTGAAAGAACGTGTCTAATGAACACACCTCGGTTTAGATACAGTTTTCTCCATCTTGTTCTCCTTGAATGTCATTGACCTAAGCTTGGAGATGTTGGCCGAAGTGCTCGTGTAATGGTAGTAAAGTATGACCTGAGAGGGGTAAGAAAGTTTAAAAAATTAGTTAAGTACTTGTGTATTTACTCAAGGCACAGTGTGCACATCATTGAGGGAGCAGAGCTCAAAAAACCTTCATTGAAGGAGTGTGGGCAGGAATGAAAAATCAAGAAATCGAATAGCATTTGAACCCGAAATCAGATGTATGCGCAGCGCGAGAATTCAGCTGTCGCCTTAGAGACAATGGACAAACATAATATTCACCGAAAACAAGTAAAATAACAGTGACGCTTTGAGACTAGAAGCTCAGTGATGGTCGGTAGCGAACCCAAGATAGCGGACGGAACGGATCTCGATGTTAGGTAGCCAAAGCTGTGCAGCCTGCAACCCTTGGTTTAGTGCCAGTTAGACCAAGAGCGCATTCTTGTAGAGGCCAGAAATTTGGTCACGAGTTGGCCAAACGATCGGGGGTATACATCAACGTGTGACAGTGGCAGATCACGACGCAAGGGAGATAACCTGATGTGCACAGACACGAACAGTTGGCTGGCGCGAAGACGGCACCGTCGAAAGTACATCAGCTAAGAAAATATAGCCTGAATGACAATTGTTCCATTAACTACTCAACTACTACTACAACGTTAAGACAAATGACGGGTATCGTGCAACGGAAGAATTGCTTTGTAATGAAATGATGTTCGAAGGTACATAGAAGAAAGTTCTTAAAGCCAGGACATACCGCGTATCCTCTAGTGACTGGTTGAGGCACGGAGAAGAGCAGAATTCTGGCTCGTATGCGACTAGCCAGGGGCACAGGATTGTCAGGATCGGTGATTACATCACCTGGAGCGAGCGACTGATAGGGATCAACACCGCTGAGTACGAGAGCAACTTGGTCTCCGGCAAACGCGTACTTGACTGATTGATCCAGAAAGTTGGAAGTTGCATCGGCTGTATAAAACGGAACACAGAGACGATGAAAACTAGAGAAAATTGCAATGAGCGGCACTGAGTATGGGTTATCACTCGGCCAAAAGGCACGATTCTAACTGAAGTAATCGTATCTAAAAGGGATTTAGAAGGACGGAGCACAAATTGATACAAAGAACATAAGCACAAACCAATGCATAGGTTGTTAGAATGGTCGAGCGTACGTATCCGGGCGGTCCGAGGTGCATATTCAGGCGCCTCGTCATAGTGTAACAAAAATTTGACTTTCGCCGAAACAAGATACTTACATAAAAGGATAGAAGTCATTTCAAAACTCCAAAGGTGTTACCAACGAAGAGCGACATCTTTAGAATGTGTTAAATTGCACAAAAATACGCGGTATACACAGTGGATACTCCCACTGGTGCCATGAAGTCTGGTCGCCCTGTGATCAAGATGCCGTAGGGTAAACAGGATGCCCTGGATCCGATTTGTCATCTCCAACTGAAGAGTCGAAACAATGACGAGTGGTCGCGGAATACAGTGTCCACGAAGAGTATCGCCTACTTAGGGTGCGGACCAAACTACACTTCGAAGTACATTGCGATTCGAACCAAAAGTGTGTGGAGAAAGCGGTGAGAACAAAAAGAAAAGTAAACCAACAATCGAGAACTGTGACCACCCAATATTGAAGGCTTGTTAGCAAAATATCGAAAAACATAGGCGGGTTCAAATACACCGGGAACAAAGAAGCTGTGTCAAGGCAGCTTGAAAAAAGGGCGGAGTCATAGTGCTTGTCTGTAATGTTGTTCAACCACTTCAGCTTACCGTCCGCATTCTCCATTCCAGGCTGAACACTGCACAATGAGCGAATGGATTTCACCACAGCTAGTAAACCGCTTGGTTGACAAAGAAGACGACTAGTAGCTAGTCCGACGCCCGCAGAGACCCCGCCGGATATCACACGACCAGCGACGACTGGTAGACCCAAACCCGCGGGTTTGAAAATATCGCTAACGACGAACCGGAACGTATCATCCACTGTCCTTTCGGGAGACGGAAGTGAATCTGATAGAGAGTAGAATAAAGTGAGTTCTAAAGTTAGCGTATAAAA